ACCACCACCACCACCACCACGACCACGACGACGACGACGACGACGACGACGACGACGACGACGACGACTGCTACTACGACTATACGCCTCCAACGACTGCTTGCAGCTGCCTGTGCTACTAGGGCGACCGCGACCCTGAATGTCAGTAGAACCGCCAGTGCCACTACCACTAGCACTACCATTGCTAATAATATCCCCAAGGCGCCGACAACCACTGACCACCACTTGGTATTGCTGCTGTAGCTGCTACACTCTCCTACTCCCGTGACGGCAGTCGAACTGCTTTTCGGTGCCTATCGCTGCCACTGCATGGCTTGTCTTCTGCCGCATCCTTGCTACGCAGGCCTATCAAGCGGATGCTGGCGAGGCCTTGATTGAACATGCTAGGCTGCTGGTTCAGCAGGCATCAGTGTAGCATGCACAGCAGAGTCAATGCAAAATAAATCTTCACAGGAATGCTCGTGTTGCGGGAACTTCACCTGCCCAAAAGGGTAGCCTACACAAGTCTTGGTAGAATCGATGACACGAGGCTACAAAATCGAAACTGTCCCAAGCCCTGAACCCCAAACGGCGAGAATCAGGCAGCCGGGTCCAGCTCGGCCCGGGGAAGCGCCAGAAAGGACCCGCGAAGTTGCATGTTTTGTTCTGGCTGCAGTGTTCGGGTCTACTCAAGGCTTGCTTTTAGGTTTTGGGGTTTCGGAGTCCAGGGTTTAGGGTTAGGGTTTAGGGTTTAGGGGCCCTAAATCCTAATAGGGGTCAGGGAGTGGTATCACAGTTTTTTAGGTGGTATCACAGGTTTTTTGTACATGGGCTTCACTGCAGGAGCTATCGGACGGACAGAAGCGGCTGAGCAGCACTGGGCCATGATGGCGTTGCGCACCCTAGACCCTCAACGATACACCCCAAAACCGCATTGATGAACAGGCCCTAATGGTTTCAACACTGTGTTGTGGGTTCCTTTCTATGGTTCTAATATAATATATCCCAAAACTCTATTAGGCCCTATAAACCCTATAAATCCTAGACGGCCGCTGCGCAACTCTCTGCACCCAGGCTTGTGAAACGCTTCGTTCAGAAGATGGTGCGAGGCCGGGAGTTGAAGATGTTGTCCACGAGCCTCGACGACTCTTAGGGAGGAATTAGGATCCTGGGGGTTTAGGGTTTAGGGTTCAGGATCCTGGGGAGTTTAGGATTTAGGGTTCAGGATTCTGGGAGTTTAGGGTTTAGGGTTCAGGATCCTGGGATTGGGTAATATAGGGGTCTACATTTACTTACCAAAACTATATATCCTGGGGGTTCCTTTTTTAAAGTATGCTATCGAGGAGCCCAAAACCCGATTCTAATCATTAAGGCCCCTTCATCAAACTCAGGGCTTTGGAGTTGGGGGGGGGGGTCAGTGGTTATGGTTCAGGTTAAGACTTCGGGGTAGGGTTGGTCAAAGTAGGGCTCCGAGCTCGGTTGCAGCAAAACATCGAACTCCCAGTTGAAGTCGTCCCGAAGAAGCCCCTAAACCCAAAGCCTTAAACCCGAAACCCTAAACTCTAACCCACTGAACCTTGGAACCCCAACCCCTGTAGCTAAACCGACACTAAATGAACATGCACCTAGTAACCAAAACCCCTCGCGTCGCTGGTTTCAAGGACCGGGCGTTCGCTCCTATGCCTGGTGATGCTGGACCGTGACCTGGTTCTGTCAGGTCCGAGAAGATTTGCACGTCTCTCTTCTTTTCGATGTTGGTTCGTTGATCCCTAAACCCTAAACCCTAAACCGGTTTCGGAGGATCTTCTCGATCCTATCTTCGAACCTTCACACAGAGGGTTTAGGGTTTAGGGTAGCCCAGGTGACATCCGTCATATCTCCATCCAGCTGGCAGGCAAGGCGGCGTCTCGCCGGCATCTAGTAGCAGCACGGAGCTCTACCTCGCTTGTGCAAATGAGCTCAGAGGCTGTAGATTTTCTGGGTTTCATGGCTTTGTGCCAGGGTCCCCACTCCAAGTTCCTGGGATATGCAGGGCCGAAACCCTAAACCCTAAGCCCTAAACCCTAAAGCCCTAAACCCTAAACCCTGAGCCCTAAGCACTAAGCCCTAAACCCTAGGCCCTGAGCCCTAAACCCTAAACCCTAAAAGCCCCAAACCCCCTCGGCCACTTCCACGTTCCCGACTCCCAGGATGCCAAGCAGCGCTTTGTCAACCTGAAGAGCATCGAGCAGAGCCTTCTGCTGAAACGTCGGTGTGATGCTTTGGTTCAAGGGTGTTTTTCATAATCTCTTTGGCGGGATTTTCAGGGGTCGAGATTTTTTGGCATGCACGCTGGAGGCTTTTCGGCTTAGGGTCGAGGATTTGGGCTTGGTCAGTGACCCTCTGGCTCGGTTCACATCTGCACTGCTGTAGATATGTCGATGCACGCAGGTATGCATGTATGCATGTATGCATGTATGTATGTATGTATGTATGTATGTATGTATGTATGTATGTATGTATGTATGTATGTATTAATGTATTAATGTAATGTAATGTAATGTATGTAATGTATGTAA